GTTCTTATTGCGAAATAGGAGCACTATTTATCAATCTGTAATAAAAGACGTGAGGAAATTCTGTCTTTTTTTAAGACAAAAATTTTTGAGGCGAATTACCCAAAAAGAAGTTTGTAAAAAAAATTAAATTATTAACATTTTTTTTTTTCTTAAACATTCTTCATTTTGTTTAGACATTTTAAACAATGTTAATTAGATATTTTGACACTTCCCTAGCCATTTTTGAATTTGAAATTTGCTATCAGTTTTTGTTGTCGAGGAGGAACTCTTAGAAATCCTCAGAAACCCAATTATTTTTTTTAAACATTACCAGCTGCACCGAAAAAAAACGGAAAAAAACGAAATAAAATATTTCGATTCCGGTTCAGCCCTTAACAGCGTGTTAATATAAAATATGAGTTCAGTTTAGGTTCCGGTCAAGAAAAAAAAGCCGGTTCAGTTCCGGTTTTACGTCCATATCGTTTCCGGTTCGGGTCCCTGGTTTTGCGTGCTTGCAACCATTCTTTGCTGCATTTGTGATTTGTTCTTTTTCGACCAGTAAAAGAGGATCTTAACAATAATTCGTCACCCATGTTCGGAGCGCAAAATCACCAACATTCACAATTGAAAAAACACCTACAATTTGAGCATTTTCTGCTTGCAAATAAACTAACCTGAGTGCAAGTAGTACAAGCGTAACGAACAAACGCTTTACTAATTTTGAAGCTTTTTTATTTGCGTATGTACTATCTGTCAATGTGGTTTTACTCACAACATTGCAGTTCTGCGTTTGGTTTCTTGCGGTTCGCATATATGACGAATTACTGTTAACATCCGCCCTTCTACTTGACTAAAAATTAAAAAAACCCAATCCGACGTCAATTTACATGCCTTCGGTGTACTGTTAGCAGACCGAACAAATGAAATAAGTTCAAACAACGTTTTGGAAACTCTACAATTTTTGTATTATTCGTGCTGTTCAATCCATGTTGTGCGCTTGTTGCATTTGCCTGCACTGCTCGCAAACAGGCAAACTCTTTGTCAAGTAAAAGCAGCCTTTAGTCGCTGAGGCGGATCAAACATTGTCTTTCTAAAACTGCAGCAGCTTTGGCTTTGACGAACGATCGAACGAAATTTCACATTTTCCAATGAAAGTATCATTTTGCAATAAGAAACGAGCAAACGATGTTGTCTTGCCCGAGAGCAAACTTTAATTGTGAAAAATCAGCGAAGGATATGTTGTTTATGTTGCTGATAAGCAAAAGACACTTTTATCTGCAAAGAACGTGCGAACGATCATACTATCTTTCTAATCGAAGAGAATCGCGAGACGCGGTTTGCTGTAACTCTGACGAACGTACGGAAGACTTATCTTTTAACGGGAACAACTTTTAGTTATCGAGCGACCGAACCATGTGTATTGCAACAGCTTTAACGAACTCCAGAACGATGCGTCTTTCTAAAGCATTTCTAAAGCGATCAACGTTACATCTTACACACACACATGCCTCTTTTAAACGCTGAGAGAAAATGAGAATTTTAACCGCTCTTCGATAGTTTGCAGTCCGCAAAGAACAATTAGCAAAATACTTCAATTCCTGACTGCGTTGTCGTAGATATCAAACAGCACCAAGATGTATCAACTCATTCAAAAAATAAAATGTTCTCTGAAAAAGATTACACTAACCAACATTAATCTTTTTTAAACCAGCTGGGATATGTAATAATTTAGGTCCTTCTTGGCGGAATATCTGAACCTCCAAACAAATTTCCTAGCCGCATACCCTACACAGAAATAAGTGATACTCTCTCCTGTATTGTATGCAGTTCATTCATTTGCCGTCAATTGCTCAATTCAATAGAAGACATATGTTGAATTCTTGTGGATCTTTTCATAATAGCCCAATTTTCTTCTAGCCAATGCCAACAACAACGACGAATTACCCTATAGTCCAGTTTTTCACCCTTATGGTTACCCCTATTACCCACCATCCTATTGGCCCGATTACTATCCCAACTTTTACCCTCCTGAACAATCAGAACCGATAGGAAATAACGATAAACCGTTTACGAAAGGTGGAAGATCTACTCCCCTGCCGCCAAATTATTGGCATGATTATTACCCGCATAATTATCCACAAGAGCAATCAGACTCTACATCGAAAATGAGCGATAGAAGTTCTAAAGGTTCATCGAAAAGTGGACGATCCACCCCACTGCCTCCTGCGGTGCCTCTTCCTCCTCCAATGCCGCCACCGTATTGGGGTTACATGCCACCTCCCACTCTCTATAGACCTAGAAGCACTACTCCTAAACCCGACAAAATGTTTCGACCACAAACTCCCAAACCAACTAGCGATTATTCAGCTACCAATCTGGAAGATAACTATCATTACCCAGTGTATCCCCCGTATTTTGATCCTTATTACTACAGCTATTATTATGGATATTCACCGATGATGCCACCTTTCCCTTACTACCATCCTGCATCTTCAGACGCGGACGAATATGGAGGCTACTCGTCAATGGACGAAATGGCCAACTATAACCCAAATAGTAGCGCTTCTATGAAAAGAAGAAATAGCTTGGAAAATAGTCCGAACAGTGTTCAAGCTTTAAAGCAACACTTTGAAATTCGCAGCAAATCAGCTACTCCCAGAATCACAATAACGCCAACATATTCTCAGGAGAATCTAAACGTTAACATACCTCCTGATAGAGCTAAAGAAATGGAAGATTCCGACACGGAAGTCGAAGAAGATCAGTCAACACAAGGTAGCAACTTGTGCAGATTGCGGTCTATAAAATCCGTTCAAAACCTGAACAATTACGTTACAACCGACCAATTAAAGCATGAAGACAATGACTCTTCAGACAGTGAAGAATCTTCCACGGAAGAAGAAACAGACCCAGAAGAAGAAACTTCAATAGAACGCAGCAGTGAAGCAATAATCCCACATCAGCTCAGCATTATTTATGAAGAAAGCGAACGCGGCGAGTCTAGACGTTCTTTCAGATGTAACAGTGTAGCTAGTGAAGCCACTACTATTGCAGAACATTACAGTGAAGAAGAAACCGAAGAAGACTTCTTGGCGAGTCAAAATGTAAAATATAAAATAAAGCTGTTTCAAGAATCCAGTGAAAGTTTTGCAGTTCGTTCTGCAGACGCACAGAATGGTTTCACTGTGGAACAAGAGGTCCATAATATATCAACGTTCAGTTTTAAGGATTCTCGGACTGTATCAATCAAAAACGCAGGTAACTCTGGTGATAATATAGAAAGTAGAATAACTATTGAGGAGCTGGAAGACACAGAATCTGATGCTTCAAGTGAAAGCCTAGGCGAAGGGTCAAACTTGGAAGAAGAAAATACCGCTAACAACAGCGTTGAAGAGATCAAGTCTCAACAGATGTCTGAGAATATCATTAAAGCTGCCTGTAAACAAAGCGATGATGACTGGTGGGGAGTAATTGAAACCGACACCAATGTAAATATAAATAAAAATGGGATACATGAGACTACTAGTATTAGCAAAACAGAATGTGATAAAGAAAATTTGAAGGCTGAATCTGTGATGGTTGCAATAGGAGAAGAAATTACTTGTGTTAAGCTGCGAAATAAACGTGGAAGAAATTGCAGCCTTTCGGAAAAAGATAACAGTCAAGGTGAAGAAGCAACTGTTGGTGAAAATACTGAATCTAGTGATTTATTCCTAACAGCCGTTCCGCAAAGGAATAGCATCTACGATATTCTGAAAACAAACGAAGATGAAGAAGAGGAGCAAATATTATCCGCGGGGACACTAATGAGAGTGGACAGTTTTGCCTCTCAGCTTGAAGCAATAAAAAGAAACTCTGGACTATTTAGCTTTGAAGACAATAGCTGTAACAAGCCTCAAAATATTATTAAAGAGGAAAGTTTTGATAGCGAGTGTCCGGAAATTACAGAAGACATAAACTTGCATAATGATTGTAAAGCTTCTGGCAAAAATGAAATGGAAACAAACAGTGAAGATCAAATCGCATATAACGAAGAGTCGGACGACATAGACTTTTGGAGCCAAATTAAAAATGATGAAGACGACTTTACTCCTAGAAGAAAGACTTTCTATCTAGATGAGGAAGACAATGAACGCAGCTCAGAAAATGCAGAAACCTGCGCAGATGCAGATCCAAAAAACCTCCAACATTTCAGCGATTCTACTAACTCTAGTGATAGCAGTTCTAGTAAGAGTCGAGAGACAGAAGAATTGCATCCATCGGCAGACCACACTTGCTATAAGAATTCAAAGGAAATTGAAACTACTGAAGATAAAGAAGAAGAAGAAGAAGATTCTGAAGATGAAGACGATACGGACACATCTGAAGACGAGCAACAATATAATACGGAAAATCAAACAAGAATTCAATACAGCAACAGTAGATCCGGATCACTCGAACCACAGACGATTAAAGAGCGAATTGAGGCGCTTCGCAACAGTATTGCCCAGAAGCAGAAAACAGTAATAGACAAGGAAGATGCAACGGTTTCGTCGGTGAAAACCAAAATTTCATCCATGGAAGTTCCCTGTGAAAGTCGCAGTAAAACTGCTTCTACTAAAAGCAGCATAAAGTCGTTCGAAGAATATTCTGAAGAAGAAGAACTGGATTCGGGAGTCATATCGGATATTTCACGGCATATCAGCGACAGTGAGGAGTATCCAGAGCTAAGAAAATTGACAAGATATGAACGCGCCGCCACACATTCTCGTTTATTTAAACTCTTGCAAGATGAATGTGACATAGAAGAGGAGGAGGAAGACGAGGTGTTTGTTAAAAAAGAAGACAAGTTTAGCAAGCTATCGGTTAGACAAAATAGAAGAGAAAACCAGTTGTCACCTAGCAGAAGCAAACTGAGCTTACCGTTAAAGTGCAGCGAAAGTGACGAAATCAAGGGATCTCAAATAAATGAAAAGCTTGTGGAAGAACTAGTGCAAAGCCTTCTTAAATCTAAGAAAGCGCAAACTTTCAAAAATATGCCGAAAGAGAAACTGTATGCTGCCGCAGTGACTATTCTTCAAGAGGGAATTGATAGCGGTGAAACTCCTTCGGAAGAATTCAGTAGCCTCTTGTCCCCCATGCGAGGAGGAACTGAAAATAGTACTCCCGCCCAAACTCCTAATGAGTTTTATGGAGACTATAGCGAATATAAGCAATACTACGACTCGTGGAGCGATGCCGCTGTAGAAATAATACCGTCAAAAGCATTCAAATTGCTTCAAGAACATATTGGAGCGAACAAATTGGGTTCGATAGAAGGAATTTTGGCAAAATGTCCGCGAATATTATCCTCGAAAAATATCCCAAAAGAAATACAAAAACTTTTGGCGGAAAATGGTTCTGATTGTTCGAGCTCTCCGTCCAAAATCCCACCCAATTCGAACGACGTAACGAACACTTGAATTGACGAAATTGGATTTTTAAGTGCAAAAAACTTGTTGGACACATGGTCCGTTTGAAGAGGTATAATAGAAATTTTGTGTGGCCGAAAACATTGTCTGTACTGTCTACTTTTGTAGTTTTCATTTTTTTCTACGGCTAAAGTTTTTGCTATTTACCATCTATGAATATTTGTTAACATAAAACGGATGTTAAAAACGACTTATGTTATATAGACACTGTCATATAAAATGTATATACAAGGTGTTCCTTAAATATGTGCAAATAATTTTCCGTTGTGTTTAGAAGCGAATTTTAACAGGGTCGCTTCAATAAAATGTTTGAGTTGTGGCTGACAAAAAGGTCGAAACGTCTGTTTTTCAGGAAATAATCAATCTAGTCCCAACTCCACTATCAGAACAGACAATTTTAAAAAGTGTTTTTAAATGAACCGTAGTGTTATGTTTACCGTATGTGGAAATTGCTATGGTCAAAAAAGTTCTGGAAAAATTAAAAACAGAGTTATTCAGTTAATTGAAAGTCATGGAAGAGAAATGTAAGGAAAAAAACAGGATAATTTTCGTTTCAATTTGATTGCTTTCAAATTTGTTTCATTTCAAAGACATGGAAGAGAAAAATAAAGGAACGAAAGAGAACAAATTTGGTTTGGGGAGCGAGCATCATGATTATTCGGCTTTAACTATGGAAATTTTAAGTATTACGGCGTTGATAAATCAAAAAATTCTCCGTCGCTGTTAGGTATAACATTTTGAAACTTCCAATACTATATTACGAGAAATGTGGTTTACAAACTATTTCACGTATTTTCACTCAAAAAAATATTTTTTTATGGCACACCTATATATATGTAATTATCGGTGTATTTTATTCAGAATGCAAAAATTCGATTTTTCTAAATTCCTCCGTTATATTTGGTAACAAATTTATCATACATACTTTCCTGACTGTGTTTCAATTCCAAATCAAAATCAATTCCTGGGCTTCAGTCATTTATTGTCTATTTATCAATTAAAATACGTTTCG